TTATTGCCAAGACGAGCGAGCTTACGGCCCCTTAATCGCTACTAATCTCTTAGCGAACGATTAAATGTGTGTGAATGTGTCCTAGAACAAATTAGATCTCTCTTAATTCTTTCTACATGCAATTGTAATTCTAGCTGCAGTCTAGGTTACAAGAGATATCAATTAAATTATTCAAACACAAATTAAACGGCATTCATGCAATTAAACCGACAAGAATCTAGCCATCAATCATGATTAACCCCTTCATCAACCCCAAATCCCTAATTAAACTACTCACGCCTCATAATTGACGAATCAAAATAATTGGGATGAATAGAAATAATTGTCATTAATTAAAGAATTGAACTTACAAAGAATCTCAGGTTCTTGGATTAAACAACGTAAAAAACGCAGATAAACTCGTCCCTAGGCCTCTCTCCAAAGTTCGTAACCCCCAAAACGAGGTTATGGAGGCCTAATTTATAGAAAACAACGAATGCGGGTCGAATTAGGATAAATCGCGGCCAGGCACGGTGCCAGGCACGACCGTGCCTGCGACCGTGCCTACGGTAGGAATCCGTTTTTTCGCGTCCAGGCACGACCGTGCCTGGCCTCCAGTAGCTCCCAGGAATATTTCACTTCAGGCACGGCGTGCCTAACTCCAGGCACGACCGTGCCTGACCTTATTCTTCACTTTTTCTTCGTTTTCTCGCTCCAAACGCTCCCGAATGTCTACGAGGTCGATCCTAATGCTCTTTCTTCATCAGAATTTCGTCGTGAATCCTCCGGTGACCTCCAAATCTCTCAAATCTTCTTCGAATGCTTCCAAACTCTGTCCGATTGCTTCTCAAGCGCCGATTGCCGGACTCTAACTTCTTCAAATCAACTCCAAATGCAATGAAACTCGATCCAACGCCTGCTAAACACAACTTGAGCCAAAATTGAGACTTGCAACGCCTTAAAGCCAGGAAAACCATCAAAATCCGACCCGAACACGCATCGAATGCGTGTCTAAATACGGACTTATCAATATCTGATATGCACTAATTAGTAGTGCATAAGTGTATGTTTTTATGTTTGATTTGTGTGTATTGTTTATCGTTTTTATTTAGTTTGTAAACATTTATGTGATTTTAGTTGTAATTGTATTTTAATCTTCATTTGTAAGTTGGAAAGTAGAATTAGGAATTATGGTCTTGGAAAGAGAGACTTTGAAGTGAAGAAAAAGGAGATTTGACTGCCCAGGAGTAAAAATCCGACCGGGCATCAACCCTCACCCGGTCGGGTAGGAAGTGAAAACCGAACTAGCAAGGAAACTGCTAGGCCCGGTCGGGCCCACTACCTCACCCGGTCGGGTGAGACTTGATCGGGGACAATCCGACGTGCTGAAAACAAGGAATCGTGGGCAAATATCTGATTTTGACATTTACCCGGGGCGGGTATGCCCATTTACCCGGTCGGGTAAATGCCCCAGGGTGTTGAAAATACCTATAAATAGCCTCATTTTCCTTCACTATTTTCCATTCCTTCTTCCATACTCTTAAGCTCGGTTTAGAATAGTATTTCTTTTACATTGTTATAGCATGTTTAGTCTCCAAATGAGGAGCTAAACTTCCATTTCTTGGCGTTGCTCTTGAAGCTTGTTGATTATTAAAGTTGTGAGTTGTTTTCTTAACTTCTTCCCTTGAATATTAATTATTCTCTTAATCTATCTATATATTAATGTTGGGGAGCGTTGCTAAGATGACAATTAGTTAACATCTTGACATTAATTATAGTAGTATTTATTTTCTTCCTCTATATATTAATGTTGGGGAGTGTTGCTAAGATGACAATTAGATAACATCTTGACATTAGTTATAGTAGGATTATTCATATTTAATCTTCTTCCTTAAATATTAATTCTTCCCTTAATCTATCTCTATGTTAATGTTGGTGAGTGTTGCTACGATGACAATTAGTTAACATCTCAACATTAATTACTACTAGAAACGTTCAACGAACCGATGGTTAATCGTTGATGGTTTCACAAGTAAGTAACTTCGGTTTATTAATGCACGGTCGTGGTTAATAAACTTAAAAGGGATTAATTTTGTTGGTTAAACCGAAACCGTTGTGTTGAGGTTATCAATCTCAATTGATTTCATCAAGGAGTTAAGAGATTAAATGCTACTATCAAGTCGGTATATGGCGGTGTTCTATATTTGACTAATAGTAAGGGTTATTAATGAACGGCCGTTGTTAATAACTACCCTCGATGAATTGGATATACTCCTCGATTGAGTATTCGAGAGGGGATAAGTTATAGATATAACAATGATCGAGTAAAATATATCAACAAGTGGAAAGTAGCAATGCCAAGTCCTTTTTATCTGTGAACAAGTATGTTGTTGTATTTCATATACTTCATTCAAGTGCTATACAAGAGGCTATATTTATAGCTATATTTAGAGTACTAGGGTTTCCTATACAAGATACTAGGGTTTCCTATACAAGATATACAAATGGGCTAAGCCCAATACTACTAGGGTTTTCACACCCCCCCTCAAGCTGGAGCATATAAATCATATGTACCAAGATTGTTACAAATATATCCCACTCTAGGACCTCTAAGAGACTTAGTTAAAATATCTGCAAGTTGTTCAGTTGTGTTCACATATTTTGTGATGATATGTCCACTCGTGATCTTCTCTCGGATAAAATGACAATCAAATTCAATATGTTTCGTCCTCTCATGATATACCGGATTTGATGCAATGTGCATTGCAACTTGATTATCACACATGAGTTGAGCCGATTTTGTGTTTCCATATTTTAACTCTTGGAGGAGATGCTTCAACCATAAGATTTCACATGTAGCAAGGGCCATTGCACGATATTCTGCTTCAGCACTAGATCTGGCAACCACATCCTGTTTCTTACTTTTCCATGAAATTAAGTTTCCACCAATCAAGATGCAATATCCTGATGTGGAACGTCTATCCATCGGACATCCGTCCCAGTCTGCATCACAGTATCCCAAAATATCGTGGTGGCCTCGATCTTCAAACAACAATCCTTTCCCTGGAGTTTTCTTGATGTATCTCAAAACTCGGATAGCTGCATCCCAATGTCCAGTACATGGCTTATCAAGAAACTGACTAAGAACACTTACCGCAAATGAAATATCTGGTCTCGTGATGGTAAGATAATTCAATTTGCCGATGAGTCTTCTATACTTTTACTTGTTGGGCAAATGATCTCCCTGTTCTGATAAGAGTTTAACGTTCGGATCCATTGGTGTATCCACTGGCCTGCAATCTAGCAACCCCGTTTCCTCAAGAATATCCAAGGCATACTTTCTTTGTGAGAGAGCAATTCCATTTTTAGACTGTGCGACCTCAATGCCAAGGAAGTATCTTAACTTTCCTAAGTCTTTCGTTTGAAATTTGCTAAAGAGATGTTGCTTGAGGGGCACAATTCCTTGATCATCGCTACCTGTAATGACAATGTCATCAACATACACCACAAGATAAATACATTTGTTGTCAGCAGAATGTCTGTAGAATATAGAATGATCAACAGCACTGCGAATCATGCCAAACCATGCACGTGGAGATTGCTTCAAGCCATACAATGAACGACGTAATCTGCACACCATACCAGACTCCCCCTGAGCAACAAATCCAGGTGGTTGCTCCATATAAACTTCCTCATGTAGATCCCCGTGAAGGAATGCGTTTTTGATATCCAATTGAAACAATGGTCAGCGACTCATTGCTGCCATGGATAAAATCAAACGAACTGATGCAATCTTCGCTACAGGAGAAAAAGTGTCAGTGTAATCCAAACCATATATCTGAGTATACCTTTTCGCCACAAGGCGTGCTTTAAAACGATCAATCTCCCCATCAGGCCCAACTTTAACGGTGTAAATCCACCGACATCCCACCACTGATTTGCCAGCGGGAAGGGGGACTAAGTCCCACGTCCCACTAGAATGAAGAGCCTCCATCTCAGCCAACATGGCTTTACGCCACTCCGGGTGTGCCAGTGCCTCATGTGTGGTTTTAGGAATGGATATATGAGACAAGTGGGAAATAAAAGCATAGTACGGGGTAGAGAGACGGTGATAACTCAAAAAGTTATATATGGGATGTGGACAGTGTAGAACGCGTACCTTTTCGGAGGGCAATGGGTAAATCATCCAGAGTGTTTTCAGGCGGTGCGGTAGTTGATGGTGATGATGCATGAACCGTCGTAGGGGAATCAACTGGCGTGGCCACGATAGGCTCAATGGCAGGAGGTCGAGGACGGCGATGGTATACCTGTAATGGAGGAGGGTCTACCACAGGAGGGCAGTGGGGGTGCTCATCAGATGGAGGGGAAAGAACAGTTTCTGTATGGATGGGCCGAAGATATGAGATGAAGTCCAAACATGATGGAGTATCAACTGAAGATAATGGGTAATAAAAGGAGGACTCCATAAAAGTGACGTCAGCCAAAATAAAATGCTTCTTAAGGAATGGAGAATAACAACGATAACCCCTTTTGGACTCGTGAATATCCAAGAAAAATGCATTTTATTGACCTAGCTGACATTTTAGATAATCCAGGTGTAAAATCATGGACAAAACACACACACCCAAACACATGAGGTGGTAATGGAAATAACTCACGACTAGGAAACAAGACAGAATAAGGAATCTCATTATCAATAACTGAGGAAGGCATTCTATTTATTAAATAACATGCAGTGAGTACAGCGTCTGCCCAATACTGAGGTGGTGTATGTGAATGTAATAACAGAGTACGGGCAGTATCAACTAAGTGTCTATTCTTGCGTTCAGCTACCCCATTTTGCTGAGGCGTGTGTACACAAGAAGACTGGTGAAGCATACCCCGTGATGTCATGAATTCATTAAAGGGTGCCGAAAAAAATTCTTTAGCATTATCACTGCGTAAAACTTTGATAGAATGACCAAACTGAGTGTGGATTTCAGCACAAAAAGTTTGAAAAATATGGAATAATTCAGAACGTTCTTTCATTAAAAACAACCATGTGTAACGGGAAAAGTCGTCCACAAAAATAACAAAATAGCGAAATCCTAAAGTAGAAGTGACTCGATACGGACCCCATACATCTGTATGAACTAAATCAAAAGGGGACGCAGCCCGTTTATTAACACGCCTTGGAAAGGATTTACGAGGTTGCTTTTCAAGGTGACATGACTCACAATCTAAAGACGAAAGACTCGAGAAACCTGGAACCATACGTCGAAACTTTGAGAGGCTAGGATGACCCAAACAGTTATGTAACGTTAATGCAGGTTCAACGGAGACACAAGCAATTGGATCAACAGGATGAAGATGATACAAGCCTTGAGATTCATGCCCGACTCCAATCGTCTTCCCCGAACGACGGTCCTGCACAGTTACAGAATCAGCAAAAAAGGTTATAGAACAATCAAGAGCACGCGTAATTTTACTAACAGAGACAAGGTTAAAGGGGCTATTAGGAACATATAAGACTGAATGTAATGGTAAGGATGAAAGTGGTCGTGCTTGCCCAATACCCGTGACTGAAGTTTGATGGCCATTAGCCAAAGTAATTAAAGGAAGGTGTTGGTGTTTGGTAATATGGGATAAAAGATGGGGATTACCAGAAATATGGTCTGAAGCACCTGAGTCAATGATCCATGAGCATGTGATGTTTGAAACACAAGCGGTAGACGTACCAGGTGCAGATAAGGGCACATTAGCAGACTTAAATTTCTGATAGGCGGCATATTCGTCTGGAGGTAGAACAATCGGAGATGGCAGAATCTGAGCAACAGTGGCTGAGCTAGGAGGTCTCCCATGTAACTTCCAACACCTATCTTTAGTATGACCAATCTTATGACAGTAGTCACACTTAGGTCGGCTTCGACGCAGATATCCTTTGTTGTTTCCTCCGTCGGGCCCCACAACTTGTGATGCAAGAATGGTAGAATCAATAGAACCCAATTCAGCAGATATCGGGGCCGCACGAAGAATTCGAGAAAAAGCGTCTGTCATAGTTGGAATAGTAGAACTAGAGAGAATTTGTTCACGTATAGATAACAGCTCTGGGCGAAGACCTGCCAAAGCTAAAACCATAACAAGTTGTTGTCGTTGTTCTAGTTGTTTCTCTCTATCTTCCGTGATAGGTTGAATGGTATTATACTCAAAGAGTAAAGCCTCAGCCCGGCCTAGAATGTAACACCCTACCCGAATCGGCCCCGCCGACCCGAGCGGTGTGTCACGTGGCAGAAATCAAAACAGATTTAAATAAAACACTTTTAATTAGTTACAACAAAATTAAGTATTTAAGTAAAATATCTTTATTCAAACATCAACTTATTGTTCAATACGTGAAAATATCAAGTCACCATAAATCACTTAATATTATACAGCACAAAATATTTCAAGATATGCGGAAGCGTTTACAGAACGAAAATGATCAGATAAGTTTAAAGTCAAATTTGCTTCTTATTTGTTTATTTATAAACAATACACACATGATATGCACATGAATCCTACGCCTCTTTCCATCCCAACATCCTTATCTTAGCTGAATGTACTTCAACCTACGGGTAGGAAAAACAAAAAACTACCCGCTCAGCAATGTGCTGAGTGGTACTATACAAATACTGATAACAATAATCATAACAATAATGATAATAATAACTATCACATATATTTAAATCAAATAGCAACATAACATAATTAGCATCTAGTCAAACAAACACTTAACATACCTGAGTGAGCCGAATAACTGTCATGAGAATCAAAATATTCGTATACAGATCAAAAGCATATTCAGATGTCATAATTATCAAATATTTCTTATTCGGATGTATATTATTAATAAATTCATTTAAGCCTTGTGCTCAAGAAACTGGACCTAGACAGAGGAATACTAACGGTAAGGAATACGGACATAAAGTCCATACCCACATTACCCAGAAAGGATATGGAAACGTAATCGCCGGAGCTACACGTACCAATCCCTAACAGAAGCTAGCTGAACAGAAAGGACGAGATCACCGAAGAGACTCGAACCTTAACAGAAGAGTAATAGTGTTCTAAAAAGATTTCAGGAGTGTACATAGTACACTAAACAGGAGAACACTAATTCCTCTAAGACAGAATTCCAGGAGTGTACATAGTACACTAAACAGAACAGAACAGGAGTATTCGTGTCAGAGTGCCGGATCAAGAGCAAGACCTTTGAGAAACATTTTTCTTTAGTTTATTTTTAAAAAAAATGAGTTTAATTTATTTTTAGGGGGAATTTTCGAATGTCAGAATTTATAATCAACACGTCCTATTCGGCTATTCTTTTGTTTATTTATGAAGATTTAAAGAGGTATTTTTATCATCGTGTATATTTCATATGTCCAATCATTTCTTTAGTTCAAAAATCATACGAAGTATCATGTAACAAGATACCATCACATGCGTTTCATGAGTATATATGAATAGTATTTAGCACCATAATTATAAACACACATGAATAGTACTATGCATGTAAATATAAGTCTTGCACGTATTATAATACTAGACACGTATGTATACATGTACTTAGTAAAGTCAACTATTCTTATCCATAATCAGTAGTATATATTAATAATTTTCATGATCCCACTAACTAGTTATACGTGTAAATACTTCAAACTTATTAATAATTTATCTAGTTAACTTTACGTGTTTATATTAATAATTTATTTTTACTTTATTGGCTAAACCTTCAAACTAGTTATACGTACAGTAATATACTTATATTTTTGAAGCCGAGCATTATGAATATATATTTTACTTTATTTAAAATAATAAAACTTGGCTTATAATAATTGGACCATGTATACTAAATAACTGGTATATACTTTATTTAGTAAATTACTTAAGTATACGTATATATTAATGAATATATAGATTATATATTAGTATCTATAAAATCGTAACTCTTGTGACTTTCGAAACTAATTTACTGAATTCAATAATATTATAATCAATATAAGTGCTTACGTAAAATAAATTCGTATAACTTACTTAACTACCTATATATGTTTATACTTATATATTAAGCATGTTGACAAATCTTAATTGGCCTTATCGTACACATGTACTACTTAATTATCTACGAAAACAAATCACTTTATTATTTATTTACAAATTATGAACTGACTTATAGCTATATTTAACTGTGTATGTGCATAATTTTTACAAGGATTAGTTTTACTGATTTATTTATCATGTATCAGAAATATGGAATCCTTGAAGTATATATTTATATAAACTTAGTCGGTGGTTCTTTTTATATTTTTCCTATCTGTACATGCAACCAAACTTCAGTTCCGTCAATTGAACGTTTTCATTTTATTTTCATTTACATGCGATGTATACTGTAATCATCAATAATAGCTCTTATAAATCATTAACACATAATTAAAGCATACAAATATTTCTAAGGCTAAATAATATTCATCATGTATAACGTATAACGTAACTTAACACATATTTACCGAATACTAATATCATGTATTTAGAGCATGCAAAACATTCTAAGGCTATATGATTCTTCACCATCCCCATAACTTAACATGAAACAGGGACGGAAATTATACTTACAAAATAATATTAAAATATACATGAACTAAAACTGGGTCAGAAGTACTGACCTTATATACGGAACCTTAATGATTTTGGGTCGGAAGCTATTTTCCTTGAGCTCGTTTCAACCTCTTCCACTTGCTCACATACATCAACTCTTACTTAATATATGTACTACTCCGTATTTTTTTTTAATATTGGCTGGCCACATGGTATGTTGTCCACTTGTCCATGAAGTTTTGAGATAAGTAAGGGTACATATATATAGTCTTGATCATCCATCCGTATGGTAGAGAAATGCTTGGCAAACATAATTATTTTGAGTAACTATTCATAGAGCTAGTTGGCTTATTATGGTAGGTATATGAAGTACATGAATTTATTATGGAGTACATGAATTGACCTTAGGTGGCTGCCCATTCCTCATCAATTGAAGATGTTTGACTATTTTAATTTATTTTAGAATTGTCCAAATTGCTAGCTATTTAGATATGCACGTAACTTCATGTAAGATTTGGGACAAGTATTATTTGTTTCTAATTTGGTTTAGATACCTTAGAAAATTATGCCGATTACATAAATAAAAATGTTAGTCGTGAAATTTCTATAGTTTAGTTTAGATCAATTATTTTACTACTAAGTTTATTATCGATGTTTCTTTTTATTTTTAAAACTATACTTTAAAAATTTACGAAGATGTTTAATTTGATACATAAATAATATCAAAAGTTTATTCATATGTATCTGAACTACTACACCAGATTTTGGGGCGTTACATAGAAAATCCTGGATGTCCAATTCTTGTTGCTTGAGATTGACAATTTTGGATCCAAAGGAAAACAGACTTTGAATATCATTAGTGTAATTAGACTTGGCTTTCTCCCAAATCTGTTTACACGTCCGATATGATTGATATGTAAGATGAAGTTTGGAGTCCATGGATTGCCACAAAACATTGCACAACAATGCATCCATATTCTCCCATTCCGTTTTCTTATCCTTGATTGAATTGGAATCTGTAAGCAAGTGATCAATTTGTCCTTGACCTTTGAACCACATTACCACATCCCCACAGAAATAGCCCATGATTGATAATTAGCACTTCCAACCAAACGATCCGTTGTAATAATAGGAACTGAAGCAAATGAAGAAAAACCAGAAGACATTTTTTTTCTGTTTTTTTTTTCTTTTTTTTCTTTTTTTCCAAATAAAATATCAGGGCAGATGAGTAAGGTGACTAATCTGCTCACAAACGTATGGACAGCGGCGGAACAACAAGTTTAAAATTAAAACGACAAAGAGATATGAAAGAAATACTACCGTGACCTAAGCAGCTGAACAAGAAGCAGAGCAAGTCTGCTCACGTGGAAGGCATCGCTGGTAGTGGCGAGTTTTGAGCCGACGACTCGTTTCTGGCGGCGAGTATGATCGGCGGCGGCGCGTGTGGAAGCGGCGACGGTGCGTGTGGAAGTGGCGGCGGACCGGACTGACTGGTCTAGGTCGTCAGGGACCTAGGTTTCTGAAAAACCGGTCGGTGTCGCTCGCAGATGACTAAGACGGAGCAGATCTGCAAAGATGTGTACCTGCAGGTGCGGACTTTCAGCGGCCGACGGAGGCGCGTGGGTGAGGCAGCGGCGGCGAAACTTCCGGCGGTAAGTCGCTATGTAGAGTTGAGCATGATGGTAGGCTTGTATCACTACCAAAAGCACTCAAGTGAGTTGCGACCACTATTCACGCCGGAAAATATGGCATGAACTTCTGTCCGGATTCGGAGCGGCAGTTTATAACGCTAACTAGCTAACTATATTTGCCGTATAGGCTCTGATACCATGTGAACAAGTATGTTGTATTTCATATACTTCATTCAAGTGCTATACAAGAGGCTATATTTATAGCTATATTTAGAGTACTAGGGTTTCCTATACAAGATACTAGGGTTTCCTATACAAGATATACAAATGGGCTAAGCCCAATACTACTAGGGTTTTCACATTATCTTTGAATTAAATCTCATATAAGTCGTTCATCTTCGTATTTAATTAAATTAAATTCCAACAATCCCAAAACCCCCCTTATTTACTAGTTTTACTAAATAGAGAATTATTCCTTTCCCTGTGGATACGAACTCTACTACGCTATACTACGTATAAGTGTTAGTATTGAATTTATTTTGACGCACCGTGACAAAGTGCCCGTCAATATATGTTATTACATGCATATATCAATAATCAATATCAATATCAATATCAATATGAACCTGATTTCAGGAATGTCTGTGCTTGTAATGAAGTCTCTAAACACCTGTCTGAATGTCACAAGCCAAACTGGTGATGAATTAAGAGCGTCTGAAGTTTTGGAATTACCAATCACTCTTTTGGATATCTTATGTCTGAATGTATTTGTGTTAAACATGGTTGTGTTTCTCAATTGCAGTATAAGAGTTTCATTTAGCTGAAACCACTATAAGATCGAAGAAGTTCATTTTCTATTGCTCTGTTTGAAAGCACTTTTAAGTGTTTTATACTCTTACTACCAGTGCTCTAAAATGTTACCAATACATCATTTTTACAGGTTTATGCTTTGGAATATTTTAAGAATATGCTAAGATATTATTATTGTAAAAAATGCATATATTAATATATTTTATCTTCAATTTTTTGGTTTTTACTATACTCTTCCTGTGCTCTAGAACTATTTATGTAATTGAAGATATCAATTTCTGCTTGTTCATTAGTTTCTTGTTTAGGTGGGCAACCAAAATAATAGATGTACATTTGGACATTGCTCCTCCTACTTGTGTTGATGGCATTGAAGTCTTAAAATCAAAATGTAGATTACATGCTCTAAAGCTTTACGGAGTCCAGGTAACTAGTTGTTCAGATTTCATTAGAAAGTACTTTACTTTGTTGTGAGAGTCTAAAACCTTTAAAGGCTACTGGTTCAGAATATGGTTACAGAACTACACACTACATTAAAGTTATTTTCTTCATGTTGTAGGAGTATATCATCTCTAGATAGGTAATGATGGGTTACACAGAATTGTGATGATGATAAAGAAGACTGAACCGGTATTCAAAAAATGACTAATGTTTGGCTCATCAAAGACAAAGCACAATCATAGTTTTAATTCCTTCCAAGTTTACTATAGATACTTGTATGACTTAGAGCTTGTATATGTTGTTAAGGAAAAGGAATCAAGGGTATAGCCTGATTCCTTCCAAGTTTTTGCATTTGCACTATTATGGATCAGAGTTCTAGAGCTTGAATATAGGCCCCAAATTTTAACTACTGAGTAGTGACTAATATGGAGCATCTAAAGTGCTTTTAGTTCTAGTATCTATCTCATCTTCAGGCATGGTATAGTCTCCATCCAACTAAGGAAGTGTATTACGAGAATCTTCATGATATGGTTGCTATTACAGAGAACAGTTCAACTACTTGGCCCCTCTCCATCTTGAAGAAGTCTTGACTCTTATAATTCTAGTAGAGGATGTAATTATAATTCAGTATAGATTGTAAGTATATTTGTAATCATAAATGTAGAAAACTGAATTGAAGTATGATTTCATTGAACCCTTGTATAGTTGTATATGGTGTACTTATATCTTATTGTTTTGTTGTATTGGATTACTTTTTCGTATCATTTTTCATTTTGTTGCATCATATTTCATTTTGTTGCGTCGTGTTTCATTTTGTAGCGCCGTGTTTCATTTTGTTGCATCGTGTTTCATTTTGTTGCATCGTGTTTTTGTTGTTGCATCGTGTTTCATTTTATTGCATTGTGTTGCTGTTTACTTTGTTTCTTTTTGTTTTATCTTGTTGCTTTTTGTTGCATATGATTTTACTTTTCATATTTTACATTTTTAAAATATGAAATATTGTATTTTATTATTACTTAACAAATTTCTCAATGATTTAGTAGATTTAACTATTTATAGTTTATTTTATTTTATTGATGATGTATGATTTTTATTGTACTTTTTGTAAAGTGTTTTCTACGTAGTTTTTTTTTTACATTTTTTCAAGTGTTTTAAAAAATCAACCACCTTTTAGTTTTTTTTAGTATATTGAATACCTAATTGCTTTCGTTTGCTATTTTTAATTCGTCACAAAATTTAGTTTTTGTGTTTTGTTGTATAATTTTTGTGATTTTTTTCTCCAGTTATCTTTTTTATTTTTATTTTTTTTAATTTTCGAAATTTAGAATTGTTTCAATTGACTCATCACCCTGATCATAAATTTAACTACTACTACGTAGTAGTTCAATACCACGTGTGTTGGTTTTCTATTCGAAAGGATAAAAAATATAGAAATCGTAATAAAAAAGAAAATGAAACATAAATAACCAAAAAATAAAGAATATGATATTATAAGTTATATGTAAAACAAAACAAAATGAAACACAAAGCAACATTATACAACAAAAAAACAATATCATGATACTTAAAATAATTATCTTTTAAATATATTTTAAAAAAATAAATTACATAAAAGTTAAATTTGTACTTCAAAACATTTTGTCAAATTTATAACTAATTTGAAAGTTTTGAGGTTTTCTTTTTTGAGACTTGTATTTACATTTTACCTTTCATTAAAATTTTGATTTTTTATCATTACAATTTATATTTTTATTTATACAAATTATATTAACTATATAAAATTACATTACAAAAATCATACTCCGTATCCTGTACGGAGTATTTATTTTACCATTTTTCCAGATGTTTAACTAAAGTTGTATCATTTTGTTATTTTTGAAGTCGCTATACATTTTTAGCATTTTATGATGTATTGTTTAAAATTAGTTTTATTTAATTTAACTTACAAGTTTTCAAATTTCTTTTTTATTATGCATTCTTTGGCATTTTAGTTTTTTTACTTTGAGGTTTTTCTTTATTTTTAAGTTTTAGTTTTTTCTCTTATTTTTCTCCCCTTTTTAATAAACTTTTGCATTTTTTTTCCTATTTTAAAAAAACAAAAACCAAGTCCACTCAAAATATCAAATTAAGCAACTCCTTGAGTTTGTACGGAGTATTAGTTTATTAACTAATAACGGTTGGAGATAGGTCTGTAAGTCCGTAACCCCACTATCTCTACAATCTTATAAATACCAATGAAGGTTAGAGTCCTTTTGGGAATATAAAATTTGTTGGTGGTATTCTTAAGCATAATGTATTTGTACTCTATGTTTAATCCATTGTACTCAATGTTGATGTCTAAGTAGGCTGTCTAT